GTGTTTTTTATATTTAGTTTTATTATATGATTTATTGATTATTACTGTTATTGATGATGTACACTTCCCTGAGTCGTGTGCCAAGTAGGGAAGCTATATACAGGTAGTCCTCATTTAGTGACTGCCTTCTTTAGCAACCATTTGCAGCTACAATGGTGATGAAAAAGTAACTTTGCGACCAATCCTCACATTTACAACCTTCACAAGTCTGTAAAGCAAAGGAAAGCTGAAGTATGATCCTAAAATCATGATGTTTCACTTGGTGACCGCTCCACTTAACAACTGAGTTCCCAGTCCCAATTGTGGCCGCTGAATGAGGACTACCTGTACATACATAAATGGGCTTGAGTAATAGGGTTCAGTGCATAGTATATAAACAACACAAAGAAACCTTTTTTTTCTTTAAAATTATGGTTCGGGTAAGGTTTTTTACTCTTCTTCAAGCCAGGTTTACCCGATACCTTTCATTACTAAGATCTTTGTGATTTTTTTCCTTCTTCTGCTTTCCATGAAGGTCCAGCATCTTGTTAGCCGGTGCACCTGTCCAGTTCAGTTCTCTATGGTCAAAGTCTCAGAGGGAAAGTATCGCATCGGTGATTCCAACACGCTCATATTTGTTAGGGTGAGTCAAGCTTAAACATTACCTTTTGTGAAGCAAGAGTTCTGCAGAAAACCACATGTTTTGCTCCTAGGGGTGAAGATCTGCCTGGTGCCTATAGCAAACTCCCTTAATGAACAAACAACTTTTGGGAGCCCAGGAAGTACTGAGTCTTCCCATTGTGCTGAGAAAAGGCAACTTGAATTTCCAAAATTAAAGTAACCTAAATTTGTACTTCAGTACAGGGGTCTTCAGAGGGCATGGCCAAAAAAGTCAAGACGGTGGGGTGAGTGGCCAAAGCTTTGCCTTCAATCTACGATGCACATAAAAAATTGGTGGAGCTCCCATCACTCTGTCACGCCTGCCATCTTGACTTTTTTGACCAAGGCCTGTGGACAGCCCCGCTTCACTTGCTCTCACACACATACACATCCAACACATGATTTCTTTTCAAGGCATGCAACGTAATGTAGATCACAGAAAGGGAGTAAGAATTAGGAAGCCAAGGAAATTAAAGGTATGAAATAAGAAAAGCAAATATTGGTAAATCTACTGTGCCTCTTCATCCATACTTTTATTCTCACAAATGTGTCACTTTCACCATACGCTTAATGTGCTTAGCAACCTTCAGTGATCAAAAATCTGGTCTGCTCATCCTCTGGGCAGCATAAAACCCCACTGTACTTCCTAAATTCTCCTTATTGTCACCTCTCACAACCTGTCCATCAGAATCCTGCCAAACACCTTCCCAACCCACTTAACAAACAAACAAATTTCCCTGTTGTTTTTACATTCACTCTTGCTACCTTTCTCCAAATAGGCCCTCTGCTCTCATGCACTCAGCTGGAATCTTCTTGCTTAGCCCTGTTCACCCACTTCCAAAACAATTTTTTATTTCCGTCAAAATCATTCTGCATTTCCTCTGCCTCTTAACTGTTGGCGTCATTCTTTACAATTATCTTTTTTTCTCTATTCACATTATGAGAAGATGTTCCTCTCATCCTCCTTTTTTGCAGCATTACTGAACAACAAAAAGTAGGATTGAAAAGCAATTATGTTTTAGAAGCTCAGCTGCACTGTTCTTGATGTGTTAGTGCATGCACTTTTCTTCTATTAATCACATTTCCACAAAAAAGAGTTCCAGTCATACTGGAACAGTTCAAAGGATCAACTAGCTCAGTAGCCTGTTTTCATAGCACTCAATTAAGTATCTTTAGGAAACAGGGCAAGACCAAGAAAATCCTCTTCTGGCTACTAGCTATTCAGAGATAAATTGACTAGTAGATAAGTTTATTCTCATTTTTAAAGCCACATTAGTTCCCACATTTGAGGTTCTTTGGAAATTATCCTTCCGTAGGTTCAAAGAATGGGACTGGATAGGATTGCTATTTGCATGCAAGACACTAAGCGTGCTACTTCGGATCTGCTCAATGCTAAATTGTGGCGTGGAATTAGCACATGCAGTTAAATGGCAGCAACTAATATGTGAGATCTCTAACTCACTGCTGCCATCTAATGGTCACCTGGATTTTTGCAGCTCAAATGTAGAAGCTCCCTTCTCAACCGTGGAGGAAGAAGTTCTGCAAAGGGACTGTGGTGTCAGCCAATCCTATCAATTAATTCATTGGCAGGGGCTGAAGTTCAAACCTATTCCCACTCTCTCCAGTAATCCTGTTAAATTGGTTAATTCTGTGTTACTAACTGAAAAACTCAGCTGTTTGCTCAGTTGATCAGCTGGGCAATGGAAGGCAGAACAGCAGATCTTCCAAGGAGAATGCACATAGGCAAGTCACAAGGCTGTGAGCTAACCTTCTTTGTTTTAAAAGAACAATAGGTGGGTACCCACTCTTCAAAAAGCTGATGATGGACAAGGGCTGTTCTCTCTCAGCCCAGGATCAAGAATAGTGGTTCTAAGTTACAAGAAGGTAGATTCTAACTGAGAGTTAGGAAATGCTCCCCCATGGTACAGTCAATTGGATACTGGAACCAGGAAGGTGCGGGAGGCTCCCCTTCATGGGATGAGTTGAAGCAAAGGCTGGACAGCCAGCTCTTTGGGATGCCTGAATTTAATTTTAATGCTATTGTGGAACTGCCTCTCTCCTATTGTTTCTACTTGGCCCATCAGATCTAGCAGAGGAGGCAAGCTCCAAGTCCCTTCCATCAGACAGCACCATCTTGTTGGACTCAGGAGTCGTGTCTTCCCTGTAGCAGTGCTTGCCCTGTGGAAGAGCATCCCCCCTGAAATCTGGATGGCACCAACTTTGTTAGCCTTTCACAAGGCTTTGAAGACTTGGCTGTTTCCCTAGAGAGCTCTGGGGTTCATGCAGTTTTTCTAATTGTGTTTGGGTTTTTTTTCACCTTAGGTGTCATGAAATATGTGCAGATGCTGTAGTTGTTGTTTTGGGCAGCCATATAAATTATTTATTTAAATAAATTCCTGCATTTAGTCGGAAGTTGGACTCAGTGGCCTAAATGCTCCTTGCAACTCTAGGATAAGATTCAAGAATAAATTTGGGCTAGCATATATTGATTGATTGATTGATTGATTGATTGATTGATTGATTGATTGATTGATTGATTGATTGATTGATTGATTGATTGATTGATTGATTGATTGATTGATTGATTGATTGATTGATTGATTGATTGATTGATTGATTGATTGATTGATTGATTGATTGATTGATTGATTGATTGATTGATTGATTGATTGATTGATTGATTGATTGATTGATTGATTGATTGATTGATTGATTGATTATGTGCCACCAAGTCATTGTCGACTCTTAGCAACCACATAGATTTTCTCCATGACAATCTGTCCCTAACCTAGTCTTTCAGGTCTTCCAGTGATGCCCCCATTACCAATGTAACTGGCTCCATTCACCTTGCTGCTGGTCATCCTCTTCTTTTTCTTTCCACCTTTCCCAACTTTACAGCCTTCTCCAGAGAGTTAGATCTTCACATAATGTATCCAAAGTAGGATAATTTGAGCCTAGTAGTTTGTGCCTCAAGTGAGAACTCTGGGTTGACTTGTTCAATGATCCATCTGTTTGTTTTCTTGGCTGTCCACGGTATTTTCAGGAGTCTTCTCCAACACCAAAGTTCAAAAGCATCAATACTCTTCCTATCTTGCTTCTTCAAAGTCCAACTTTCACTTCCATAGAGTGTCACAGGGAATACTATGACAGTTATTGCTCTTTAAGATTTTAAGAATTGATATGTAGTTTTTATTTTTGTCAACTTAACCTATGCTGTACTCTGAGAGTCTTTCACTGAAGGGCGGTCCTTATAGCAACAGACTAACCAAAAAAATGTATAAATATGCAATGTTGGCATTAGTCTTCTTCCCATACTTGAAGATACACTCAAAACTTGCAAATTCTTAGGCAAATGAAGATGAAAGACATCATCACAAACTCCTCTCTTCTTTTGGTTTCTTTCAAGGTTAGAGAAATGTTTGTTTATTTATTTAGAGGGTTTTAACCTCTTCTTCACCTGCACAGGGGCTCCCAGCTGGATTTACAAAGATCAGAAACAAGACAATAGCTACTTGTTTTATCACATGCTTAAGATGGTTCTCATATTAAATCATTTTCTACATTCACACAATACATTGAGTTAAATGGCTGGGTTCACATAGTTCACTGAGCTATCAAAAAAAGAAGCTTATCCTATTCTGGGAATGTTCAGCCACTATGAATTTTAACTGACTAGGTTAAGCCTTCTGGGTAGACCCAGCTGTTTTGGTTCACAGGCTTTTGGTCTGAGTAGACGTGGCACAAAATGAAAAAGGGACTGGGAGGGAGAAGGGAAAACAGATTTGGGCTCAAGAGTCTAATATAATGGAAGAGGGTGATGTTTGTTCACACACATTTTTGGTTGGTCTAGATCCTGCGGAATCATGTGATGGTCCGAGTAGGTGGTGGCTGGGACACCCTGGAACACTACCTGGATAAGCATGACCCATGCCGGTGTACCTCACTCTGTGCGTCCATTTCTGTTCCTTAAGTATGAAATATGACTTTGCTTGCAATTCTAAGTTTAGATTCCAAAAATGGAATCCATCCATCCATCCATCCATCCATCCATCCATCCATCCTGTCTGGGTCATTTTTTGAGCCCAGAAATGCATAAGTATATCTGCTCTGCTAGAAAGATACGATACTTCCTCTTATCACATTTTCTCCATCTTAAAGGTGCATCAGGATACTGCATATACCTCCTAGTTGGTGGGATGCAGGCAACAGGATGGGCCTTGCAAGGCAATCTCTAGATGTAGAGATCCTAACTAGCATAGAGTAATGTGAGCATCCTTGGGGTAAAACTTTGGTTGCACCTGTGGCATATTGGTCAAAATGTGCCCGAACTGACTAGTGTTGTCCTTAAAATGCTGCAAGGAATGCTTCATGTGGCACACATATAGCTAAGGCTGGTGACTTAGTCCATGCATTTTCAAGCATACTAAAAAGCATTATGAGAAAGCCTCCATTGACCAGCGCCATGGTGGGCTTTGGAGGTCAGTGTCTATGGGCCCATCTGATATTGGCATACAATGCAACTTGGAATGTAAAAAGAATAAATGGTAAAGAGCATACTTTAAAGAATGAAATGAAAGAATGAAAATAGAAGTGTTGTATGTCTATGTAACTAGAAGGAGTTTTGGTCCATGAGCTTAATAGGGTTTTGATTTATGAAACTAAGAGAAAGGTGGAAGATGTCAAAGATCTGAATGAAGGTGGTGTGAACTCATGTGAAGTTGAATATAGGCAGTGACCGAAGATGAGGTTTATTGTGAAAGAAAGGGCTAAGTTGTACATCAGAAAGCATAAAATTGGTGTCATTTAGATTGTTGTAAAACAATTGTATGAAAACAGGAAATTTTAAATTAATGATAGTGATGAGTTTGGAGAAAAGCTGTGCAACATTCTGAATCAATGGGGAAAAAACCAATCTGTTAGTTGACGTGAGAGAAAAGAGTAGAGAAAAAGAGACTGGGCCTTTTGAAGACCAAGAATGAATGAGAATGGTGACTGTTTGGTGAATGCCTGCTTAGAAACAGCTGCTTTCAAATAGAGGATTGAAGCAAAGTCTCTTAATAAAGATTAAGAGTGAATGGGTGAAGGATATAAGGTGAGGAGAAATTTTGAATGAGATTGTCCATTATTTGATTGGTGTGAAAACTGGATCTCAAGAAAAAATGAACAGAGAAGAAAAGAAAAACATTCAAAGAAACTAGAGTGAAATTAGAACGTCTGCTGGAAAAGAAAGTATGAAAAAGTATTAGAAGATAGATTGACTTCCGAAGAGAATGAATGGAAAGTGAATGTACAGAAAGAGGAAGTGGAAGCTGCTTTGAACAGAGTGAAAATAACTGTTAGATAGTGCCAGTTATGCTCCTGGGATGCATGAAAGCAGATGCGTGGTGGAACTGGAATGATGAGGTGAGAAAAGGTGTGGGGGAGAAAAAAAAATGAGTATAAGGGAATGAGTTCTGCAGACAGTGAAGATAAGAGAAAGATGTAAGGTCTCTAGAGGGGAAAAAAGATATAATGTGTCTAGAGAAAAAAAGATAATTCCGAAGAATGTATTCAGAGAGAGCAAGAAATGGTTAGGATTAAAATGCAGAGTACTTTTGATGGAATTTAGAAAAAAAAAATGTTTTGGAAATGAGTGAAAAAGGCTAATTAGGAGAAAAATGAATGGGGTTAAAAATAGAAGTGATGCTTCGGAATGAAATTGAAGTGAGTGAATGCTCAGCTCTTTAATTCTGTGATTACTTGAATTAGGGTTACTAGATTTGGACTGCAAACAATCTCATGACCATTAGGTGGCAGCAAAAGGATACAGAAAAGTTTATCTTGCCATCTAGTGGTTGTCCAGATTTTCACAGGCCAGATCTGCTAGCCCTACTTTGAGTACAAATGAGCCAGATTCAGGGTTTTTTTCCTGTCTGGTAACACCCCTATCCCCACTCCCCAGCAATGCTGCATTGCAACTCTCTTAAACTTTCCATTCTTATCCCTTTTACTTTAAACGGGTTCCTTTCAAAACATACACAGGCTACCTTCATACAGTGTTTAATCTGATGACTGAATTAATCCCATTTTCTAAATCTGTAGAAGCCATGTTACTCAATACACTGATTCAGTGTGTTGTGGAAATACAGCCAGAGGAAGAATTCAAAATGGCTTCTCTCTTGCTCTCCAGCCTGAGAGAGCCTCCATTCTTCTATAGAAGTAAAGGTGGCTATATTCCAATGTATATTTTCTGGCTATTGCTCTGAAATCAAGAATGATCACCGCTAGTCATTATGCCTATCCATTGCTTTGGTAATATAATCTTTGTGGAAGAAAAATGGGGATATAGATCACCATGCTTATGAGCTTCTTGGAAACTGGGAACAAAAAACTGGATTAGATAGCCCCGTGATCTGTTACAATACTGGGCATTGTAGTAGCCAAAAGATCTAGATGGTTCCAAGCTTTAATATGGCACAATACTCTGTTGTTACTGCTCTTTCTGCAGCTCACAAGCAGGCCTTGAAGATCGCCAGCCCTCAGAAGATGCAGGCTACCCAGGTCCAGCATGAAATCACAGCCCGCTTAACACCCAGGAAAGACAACTGTAACAAGCCCCAGCCTGCCTTAATTGTGAGCAGATGCCAAAGCCCACTGCCCCCAGTAGAGTGGAGGACCTACGTGCCCCACAGTTTAGGTTCTGGGTGGAAGAAGGCTCAAGCATCCTCACCCTCAAACAACAGTGGCAGCAGTGGCAACAAGAAACATGACGGCCTACAGATCTCCCAGGATCATTCAGAGCCCAGGAGAGCCCCTTCAATTAGGTAATGGGGAATATCCATGGGATTTGTTTCCCAAGAGTTTTTTTTTTTTAGTTCTGACCAATTTTTCTGAAATTTGGGACTTGAAATTATTGGAGTAATGGGGTGGTTGTTAAGCCACCCTTTTGTTAGCTTCACCATAACTCTCTGAGATAGGTTAGCCTGAGAGCTACTGATGTGTCCAAGTGTCTGGCTACATAGACCTCCTGTCTCAATCATCATGACTGACTTTTCCTGTTTCGTAGTAACTTTACTCTCTTAAAAGCCTTGGCAATATATGCTGCCTTTCACCTCTTGCATATCAATAGCCAATAATTTGAATCATCCTACAAAAATTGTCTTGGAGGGAAAGGAGCTTGCCCTATTAAGGGGCAAATTATACCCAAGCACAAGAAGGCAAGTTTTGTATTAGAAAGGCTGCAGGTATCAAGACTGGCATCTTAGCAGCAAGTAATGGAGAAGTCTCCTGCAGGAGACCTGAAGTACCACTGCCAGTTGAAATAACAAGTTAGATCAGCTTTTCCTGATGGACTAAAAGTCCCATATTGTCAAAGGATGATGAAAACTGAGATCGAAACTTTTTCTAGGGTACACAATTGACAAAAGTTGATTTGATAGACCGATGCTCTGTTGTACTGCACAGAAAGCAGGGGCACTCCATACAGTATGTGATATCAATATACGCATGCAATACTGGTTCCCAGTTTCATATGTCTTGACCTTTTCTTCTTCAGGGTGAGGGAACGATCAGCAACTCCATCCCAGAGACTTCCAGCTGCAGAAGAAAGGCTTGGACCCAAGCAGATGGTTTCTACACGGAGTGGGAGAGAGACATTCTGTGCCTCATTGTCTTCTCAGCAAAATGGGAACGTGGAGAACAACTCACATGGCTTGAAATATCTCTCTGGTCCAAGACCTAGAAGAGAACCTGATAGGATCGAGACAGCACTGGGGGGTCTGAAAGCGGAAACAAGGAAACCAGCACCATTGGGAACAATGACACGAAGGGGTGAGGCATTTCAGTCCTCAAGAAATGTCCAGCGAGAAGTGAAGGTTTGTTCACAGATACGTTCTACCAGCCCAGACAAGTGCTTTCAAACCTCCTACCAACAGACTGCTAAGGTCCCAGTGAAGCACACAAGCCAGGTTCAAAGAGAGGATAGTGGCTTAAGGACCTCAGGAAAAGTTGGCTCACCTTTCTACAGGCCCCCAACTCCTAGTAGAAAAGAGGCTTATCAAGGACTATTTAGGAATAGTGATCTTGCCTTGGCCAAAGAAGAACTCCAGTTGAACAGCAAAAAGGTGCCCAGGGATGAGATGGGTCCTAAAAAGGAACAGGGTGAGATGGTCAGCATGGAAGCTTATGGCTCATTGCCTTCTCACTTAGGGATTGGAGTCAGTCAGTTGGACTTAGAAGAGAAAATGAAAGATAGTCAAGCATTGCGGGGGCAAAAAGATACCCCAAGAACTTCTTGTCAATTGAGCACTGGAGATACAAAAGAGCCAACTGTGGAGAGGGAACGTGTCTACACACCACTACCTATTAACTTGGCTGAAGAACAAGCTCTGTACAGAAGTTTAGAAGAGGAGATATTGTCCAATATCAAGGAGTTGGAAGCAGATTCAGGTGACAACCATCTTCCTGGACAGAACCAGTTGGAAGAATTTAAAAAGGACAATGACCCAGAAAGAAACTCCACAATGATAGGTTGTAACCTCCCCAAAGTGTCCATTCCCTCTTTGTCCTTTCTGCAGAGAACCAAGAAGGTCTTGACTTATGGTGAAGGCGTGCCACGAAGTGGTGTATACGTGCCAGAAAGAGACACAAGGTGGCATCCAGCAGGCCTACATTATGACAGTGTAATCCAAGAGCTTTCCATGGCACTCCATCTGGAGCACATGGAAACTGACCTTTCTTCCTCCCCTCCAATGAATTCATATTTAGTGAATGGAAACAAGGCCAAATTAAAGTTTGAGGAAAAAGAAATGCTACATGAGACCCATTTAGCCGCTGAAGCAAAGGACGACAAGCCATCTCATGCAAATAATGGAGGACATACAGAGGTTAATGAGAATGGTGATACCCCTCAAACATTTCCAAATGAAGAATCCTCCAACCCTTCAGAAAGTTCTGTTGTTGCAGAGAATGTGCAAAGTAAACCAAGGCGATCTCTGAAAAAACCGGAGCGTGTGCCGTCCTTTTACAAGCTCAAACTACGCCCCAAGATCCGTCCACGCAAAGACAACAGGCCTGAGAAGAGGCCTTCAAAGATCCCCACACCAGTGACATACAGATATGCCCAGAAAACATCTAGCACCCAAGGCCTGAGGAAAGCCCACAAGGCCAAATTTCAGACCAAGAATGGCCCGGCTACAGTGAAACAAGACGGCACTGGCAACCCAAAGTCTGAGTACAGCTTGGCCTCCACACAACGTGTGGAATTGACTCTGACAGAACAGATAATGGGAGCTCTGGATGATGAGGAAACCTGGCTGTGATTATTCCTGAATATACAGTTGTAATCTTTTGATATGCTTAAGCCCATCCTTCTCCAAATTTTGCGACCAGTAACCTCCATCTCTGTGAGAGGGGTACACTTAGAAGATATATATCATATAAGTGCAGAACTGTGTGCTATCTATATGGTATGTTGAATTGCGGGGAAGAATACCCTAGCTTGTATTTCTTTGGCTTCCTGAACACTTTCTGAAACTGATGACAGATGCTTCGCTTGTACTAGGGAAAGCTAGAACCCTTTCAAAATTAAAACTCAGATTCTTAGGGTTCCACATGAGTAGAGATTTGCACAAAGAGAAAAAGCTGCTAGAGAAATGTATGCCTGTTGATCATTGCTTATTCTGCCAGCTGAATAACTACTACTGTATAGATCTGGTTTGATTTGATCAGATTCATGAAGACCCACAGCCCGTGGTGCCATTTTGTCTCATTTTCCACAACATCTCATGAAACCTGTTCTTGGTTGTCCCGCTGGCTCGGCCCTATATTCCTAATTGTCTGTCAGCCCTTTGAGGTAGACCAGATTTGAACACCAAAGTTATGAATACTAAAACTACTTTTATTATAGGGTTACAGGAACGGAATCTTGCAATTCTGAATGTGCCTCTCCACCTCCCACCCCGCCTTTATCCTAAAGAGAACTAGGGAGGGTCAAGTCTGAGATGTTTTCTCAAATTACGTTTTTTGCTCTGGATTCAGATTTCTCTTATCTGACCATTGCATTGATTGCAGCTCTTCCTCCCCTTCCTCAAAGTTATTCTCAAATAAAATAGCCTTTCCAAACTTGCATCCTCCAGATAAGTTGGGAAAGGACAGGTTGGCTTGGAATTCTGGGAGTTGTATTCCCAACACATCTGGAAGATATCCAGTTAAAAAAAGGGTGGTTTGAAGGAGGAATGTGTAACCTTTGCTAGGTCAAATGTTTTACTTGATCTTTAAATGGTATAAAGGGAGTTGCATTCCAAAAAGAGGGCAGGGCCAGGAAAAATATATTTGATTGTAATTAAAATTATATTAAATATAATTAAAACATTTAATAGGATGCATATATTTCATAATTTCTTCTTTCTAGAGTCTCAGCACCCCAAAGTACCCCAGTCCCCAAAACATCCCTATTTGTTTCCAGGTGCTTTTCAAGCACTCACTGCTAACACATCACGGTTGCTTATTAGGGCCCAAGACTTCCTAATGGAGAAGTGATCTTTTCACACCTACAAAGTTAGTGTAAAGTTTTGAAAATAGTAGTGATATCAGAAGTAGAAAATCTTATGCTTGAATGCAATGGAACACAGCATCTAGGTCAGGGTTTCTCAACCTTGGCAACTTTCAGATGGGTGGACTTCAACTCCCAAAATTCCCCAGCCAGCCTTGCTGGCTGGGGAATTCTGGGAGTTGAAATCCACACATCTTAAAGTGGCCAAGGTTGAGAGACATTGCTATAGTCTATCTGCAGATATAAGAAGATACACACACACACACACAAACAATGTATTAGTAATAAAAATAGAGAATTGCAAAACAGGATGCCTACCAGGACCTTAAACCACTCTATATAGAAACAATCCATGTTACAGATTTACATTTCATCTCTTTCTGCCCATGGTGGGCTTCAAACCAGGTTATTCATCTTTTATTATGACTCATGAAGAAGAGACTACTCTCATTATGCAAGAAAGTATGTTCTCTTCCCCAAAATCAGAATGTATCTAAAGAAAGCTATAACAAGAAGCACAGTCCTGGATTCTCTCTAGTCCAGATATCATTGGGAAAGTCTCCTGACTGAAGATGTGTAAAACTGTCACAAGTCATTGTTAGCAAGAGTTTGATTCAATGTGAGGTAACTGCCTATGAAAACCTTAGGAAATTGATGTTCTCAGTATGGCTATGCAAGTTATTTGTTAAATTAGTAAGACCTGATCCATATGCAAAACCATCATCCCTAACCTGCCATTCTCCAGATGTGTTGGACCAACTCCTATAATCCCTTGCAAGTCATTGGCTATGCTAGGTAGGGGTTATGAGAGCTGAAGATTAACACATCTAGAAGACATAGAAACAGTTGATATGTTTTTTCCCAGCAAATATATATGGCACAATATACTATTGTATGTTAAGACTCCTTTGTTATATAAATAAATAATGTTGAAAAAGAATGGTTGCACTGTTTTCCTACAATGTACCTTTGATGTTCCAATACTTTTTCATTTCATTGTTGTTGTTTTTTTATAAACTCAATTTTGACATGAGTCACTTTGCTATGACAGTTCAAATTTCATTTTGCTGTATATGTCTAATATTATTCAGTATTTCTGTATTGCCCTGCCAAAAATTGTCCTGCAATCAAATTTATAAAAAAATGAAGGGATTATAAATAGTTCTTTTTAAAGTTCAAACATATTAAAACAGTAATAATGTTGATCTCTACTGTCTACTTATATGGTTTGTCAATCACAATTTATGATCTAGTCTTAACTGCACCCACTGTGATTAAAACTACTTTTAACTCACTGTCTTATAAATCAAGTCAAAATCTGCCTTGGCTCCATCCATGGACAGCTTTTCTTAAAATTATGTTTATGTCTAGGATTTTTTATCAGTCAATGTTTAAGGGTTGTTTTGTTGAATTGTGTGCATATTTTAGTTTTGCTGGATGTTCATCAAACTATCTAGGTTATTTTCTAATTATAAAGAACTCTGGAGAGCAACAGTCTCGCTGGTACATGATCAGAAAATATTTAGCTGGCCAGAGGCAAAAGTGAAATAAGACACTGTATCATTCAGAGATGGGGTGTGCTCTTTAGAATAAAAAGGACAGCTGGTTATCAAAATAAAACATATCCCTGGATACGTTGTCTGACAGTAATTCCTAAGCTTCACCGTTCCTTCCTGTGTAGCTACTGCAAAGCAAACGGTGAATTAGTAGTAAAGTAGCAGGGTGTCCTTTGTTTTCTCATCTCTGTAGGCCATAGCAGCCCTCTATCCCACTCCTAATTCTTGGAAATTTTTCCAGTGGTGTCAGGGATAGATTAATAACATTTCATTGCTGCCTCTACATTTGCTCCCTATTGTAAAACTATGCTCAGCCAGCACTGCAGTAGCATGAAAAAAAAATTACGGGGAGAAATGCTCATGTCATAAAATAGCTTGGGTTATCTTACTGGAATAAATTGGAATTATTTCTCTACTTATCAGCATCCTTATTAAGATTCTAAGAGTGCAAACGCATGAGTTAATTTGGTAGAATCTATTGTCATACATATGCTTGAATAATCTGATGGCTAGGTATATTTTACAAAAGGGAGTAAACATAGATAATCAGTTTACTTTATAGAAATCAAAGCATTCTGGAACATGGGATTCCCTAAGACAATTCAATGGAACATGAGAATGGGAAGTAGTTTAAATAACTTTGTCATTCATCATACTTCCCATTCCTGCTTGATGTGAGATTCCTACAACTCAAGCCTCAGAAGTTAAATGCTGTATAGAACAAAAAAATTACAAATAAATATTACAAGTACAGAAGACCTTTGGAATATTTCTACATTAATGTTTAAAATATTTCATTTTTATCTTTGTACATGTAGCAGTGTATTGGGTTTGTGCAATAAAGGTGATTTTGACTCTGGGTACATGAAATAGGTATGGAATTGGCTGTGCTTCCAAGTATCCTTTTGTTCTGGCCATGCTCACTTTCCCCTAGTTCTGTAAGAACTTTCTTTTCCTTCTATCTTGTAGCATAACAGTTTTGCATACAAAGAGTGCCAAATTCTATTCCTGGCATATCCAGGCCACGTTGGGAAAGGCTCCTGTTTGAAATTCTAGTGAGCCAGTGCCTGTCTGTTTAGACATGCTGACTGGGGAATTCTGGGAGTTGATGTCCACACATCTTAATGTTGCCAAGGTTGAAAAACACTGGTTTAGACAGTTTAGCCAGACATACAGTATGGTCTAAGTAACAGATTCATATATCAAATCATTTTTTAAAAAACAATACTATACTGAATAAACCAGATTCAGTTGGTTGTATTGTTTAATGCAACAAGTTAAGCCAAAATCAAACGAATCACTGAACTGCTTAAAATGAAATATGAACCAAGGTACTGAAAGGCAGCCTCTTAAATTCTCCTAGCTTAGTTTTCCAGTAATATTTAGTAGAAATTCACATTTAGCTATTTCTTTTGTACTGTTCAGCTAGTGATAGATTGAATGTATGTATCTTGATTCTTGTTTTCCTAAGCACATAGATTTCATTCAAAACCCAGGTGAGGGACTAAATAGCTTCATGAGTAATCAGCCTCCCTTAGTTTTGGAACCAAAGCAGTATACTTAGTCCTAAATGCCTGGGTGTTTCACTGCTCTGCAGAACAATAAGTAAACTGAAAATCTTTCACACACAAACACACGTGTGTGTGTGTGTGTGTTGTTATATTCTTGTCTAAGACACTGCTAAGCAGAGTATGTCAGAAAGAAATGGCTAAGGTTGGTGTTTAGGTTGAACAATAGTTTATATGTAAAAGCAAATTTCTATCTAGCCTATTTGGATGTGAATAATGTCAGATGGAAGATCATCATTACTTCCCTGGTGACCATGGATATTAGCAGGAAAAATACCTCTCGCGCTCTCTCTATACATGGAATATGTCAATGGAGTATGATGACCTCAGTTGTATGCCAATAACAAATTATAGTCTGGCTTTTGGAATTAAAGGAAAAAATAAGATACTCATTGGCTTGCATAATGTTGAACCATACAGATATTTATTATTGATATTGTTTTCAGTGGTGTCCATAGCAAACTGCAACAATGCCAAAATGATCCACATATGCTGTGATGTCGTCATGCAAATGCAGTCCTTATGTACATGTAGATTTGCCTCAGAAGTTGGGATACAAGTCTCAGCAGCTGTGTGACGACCCTGTCACACAGATTTCACCGCTGGTCCTCAGTTACGCCCTCCTCCAATGCCCATGGTTATTTATTCTTGTCCACCAGAGGAACTCTTAATAGCTATTAATTTAAAAACCAAAAAATAGAGTAGTACTAAATACAAAACAATGAAATGAGTACAAGAATTGCATCAAGAGGTAGGATTGATTATTCATTTTAATAATTTATTAAATTATTATTTTTGTAGGTACTG